GGTACGCGGTCCTCTCACTATTGTGGCCTCTCCCGTTGAGGAGCACAGGCTCCAGACGCGCAGGCTCAGCGGCCATGGCTCATGGGCCCAGCCGCTCCGTGGCATGTGGGATCTTCCCAGACCGGGGCACGAACCCGTGTCCCCTGCATGGGCAGGCGGACTCTCAACCACTGTGCCACCAGGGAAGCCCGAGACCTGTTTTCTTGATATCACCCCAGGCTCCCTGGGCAGAGTCAGTCATGGCCACCTCTGGTTTTTGCTGCACTTGCCGTGGTGCAGTGATTTTATTGTTTACTTGTCTGTTGTCTTCTCTAGGTCGTAAGCACTAATGGGGCAAGGTCTGTGTTTTGGTTACTTTATATCCCCAGGGCCGAGGAAGCACACAGTGGACGTGGGTAGACAGCTAGTGACTGACCACCATGGCCACCTAGGTCGCCAGCAGCTGGCCCTCAAACACAAGTCTCCACAGCCTGCCTCATACGCCCAGCATGCAAATAACAACTGAATGGACTAGGCTTTGGGGCCGTCCTGGGGCTTTCTGCTAATCCAGGGTATCCATTTCACCTTTTGGTTAATACCATTTGATAATTTCCGAGCGTCCACTTAAAAAGTATGTGAGGTTTTTTTTCTTACTGTCTCCTACCTTGAGGGAATATGTTTCATTTCTGTTTGTTCCTATTAGGAAAGTAAACACCCCTGCTCTGTAAAACAAGATGTGTTATGTGAACTCTAAGGAGGAATGGAGGCAGCGGTAAGCCAGGCCCCTGGGTGGACGTGAGGGCGTGGGGTTCCCTCCTGTCAACGGGCTGCTTCTGCACCTTGAGGCTGCGGTCTGGGCTGGCCCCGCCCCTGCCCCACTGACGGAGCTTGGCCAGGGGCAGAGGGGACAAGGCTTCCCCCTGCGGAGCCAGACACGGTGCCAAGGTGTTCACGAGGATGCCCCTGCTCTCCACGGCCCACATCACCGCAGTGGCCACTGTGATTGATGTTCTCTGAGAGCACGGGGCCATGGGGCCCGAGGACCAGTGGTTACCACAGTGCCCGCGCCGCCTGGCTCTGACTGCGGGGGCCCAGCCGGCGAGGAGAGTGGCGGAGGGGTGAGTGAGCTTCCCTTTAAACGTGAGGGTGCCCATTTCCCAGCTCACTGATTCCGTTCTCACCCTGTTTCCCCTCTTTTCCACTCACAGTTCCTTACTGTATGCAGAATCTCAGAAAACCGCCCCTCATCCTCTTCTGCTGTTATGCATCAAGGGAAGATAGCAGTTGGAGACATCAGTCCCCGTTAGGATGAGTCTCAGAATGAATGTAGGCAGGAGATTGGAATCAAGTGCCTCACCTGCCCCACCTGGATGAATGTCCGCCCCACTCTGAGACCTGCTCTAACCCCGCTGTGCTGCCCAAAGGGCAGAGAAGGGAGATGATAAAACTGATGTCGGGATGAGGCTAATGTGTGACATGAAAGGGCCGTGGGGTCAGGCGTTGGAGACCCTTAGCTGCGCATATCTAAGTAGAATATGTGCCTGCCTTTGGAAACCTAACTGGACCCCTCGGTTGATCCTAGATAGAGTCAGCAGGTTGGCATGAAAAAGTGCCATCGAGGCACTAAAAGGAAATATGCAGAGGGACTGCCAACCTCTTGCTACTCTAAAAGAGAATTGGGTCTTTAAACACCAGAGCATTCAGACATCTGATTTGCATCCCCTTCTCTGGCAGCAGTGCCATAATTTAAACCCCTGCCAGCAGAGATGTATGGGTCACCGTGTCAGGGAGCACAGGGGTGGCCATTAATGCCGTGAGTTACAGCCTGGCGGTGCCCTGTCAGAATTAACTATGAGAGACCAGTGATAAATTCCACGTTTCCAGGAGTTCTGGGGGCAGGGGAGAGAAGAGGGTTGGTTTCTCATATTTGAAGTCCTGCTAAATCATGATGCTGACATTTTATTTAGAGAGCTTGTGGCATTCACTTTGTATGTGGGATCTGCATTTCTCACATATTTCAGTTTTGCATTCTGAGAGCAACTTTTGACAGCGTCTCTCAGCTTGTGGTGGGCCCTTTGAGCACCGCAGGGCTGGAGTTCTCACAGTGGTGGTTGTTCAGATCTCACAGAGAGTCTGCAGGCCGTGCAGGCTTTTAGACGCAGGAGGGTGCGGTGGACAGCAGTGGTCTTGTTTGGAGCCCCCCTTGGCTGCCCGCTCGTAACTTGAGTTTTCTGAGCCTCAGTTTCCTCATCTGTAAATTGGAGCAAAAGTTCTCTTCCTCTTCCTAATTGTCCAGCGGGGTGACTATAGAAGTGCATTGAGACGGCATTTAGGAAAATATTGGAATCTCCCAAGTCCTGCGAGGATGCGCGTTCCTGAGGGGAACTGAACTCTCTGCCAGAACAGAAGGCCTTTGGAGTCCCTGTGCATTTAGCCACCTCTTTCTTAAAACCAGTCTCTTAAAGCCATGTGTGTGTGTCCGTGTCAGCTTCTTAAAGCAATGTCATAAATTTTTAAAAAAATTTTTGGCTGCATTGGGTTTTCGTTGCTGCACGTGGGCTTTCTCTAGTTGCGGCGAGCGGGGCTACTCTTGGTCGCGGTGTGCGGGCTTCTCATTGCGGTGGCTTCTCTTGCTGCGGAGCATGGGCTCCAGGCACGCGGGCTTCAGTAGTTGTGGCACACGGGCTCAGTAGTTGTGCTCGTGGGCTCTAGAGCACAGGCTCATTAGTTGTGGCGCAGGGGCTTAGTTGCTCTTCAGCATGTGGGATCTTCCTGGACCAGGGATTGAACCCGTGTCCCCTCTTTTGGCAGGAGGATTCTTAACCACTGCACCACCAGGAAAGTCCCAGCAATGTCATAAATGTGTGTGTGTGTGTGTGTGTAGATTTATAGATGTATATATATATATATATTTTTTTTTTTTCCTGCTTTGAAGAGAATCTCCAGCTAAGATTTGAAATTTACTTACATTCTCTTCCACATATTTGCCTTTGTGTCTAGCATTGGGGAGAGATGAATCAGATAAAATATTATTATTTCAGGCTTGTCTGCCCCTTATGACACTTCCCTTTTGATGTTTAGCCAAGGAGTACCACTTGCCCAAACATAATTCAATGATTATAGACTGTTCAGTCCCTTTCTATTTATACTCCTGCATCTGACTCTGAATTCCTTATAGGGGATGTGAAAAACGGGGCTTCTGGGACTTCTGAGTATCTGACAACACTTAAATACCCCTAGGCATCCCTAAATTGAATGTCTAAAATAAACACTGTTTTTAAAAAATGTACCTAACGAGTGTATTTTAAAGTTGTAAAAACAAAATGACATTAACAAAACGTTTTTTTTTTTACTCTCATGATAGAGACATTTAGAATTATAATGTTGGTTATAATGTTCTTATCACTGCAATTACTCAGGGAATTTCTAAAGTCTGGGTTTCAGTAAATGCATCATAAATTCTAACTGTAATTCAGATTGTTCTTGTTAATGTTTATATTAAACATAATGGATGGAAAGTCATCCTAAGACTAAGCATGACTAAGAACCTGGTTTCTGTTGCTTTAGGCTGAATCATTAATAGCTTTTTTTTTTTTTTTTTTTTTTTGCGGTACACGGGCCTCTCACTGCTGTGGCCTCTCCCGTTGCGGAGCACAGGCTCCGGACGCGCAGGCTTAGTGGCCATGGCTCACAGGCCTAGCCGCTCCGCGGCACATGGGATCCTCCCGGACCGGGGCACGAACCCGTGTCCCCTGCATCGGCAGGTGGACTCTCAACCACTGCGCCACCAGGGAACCCTCATTAGTAGCTTTGAATATGTTTCTGTTGAGTTGTGGGCTGACTCAGAATGATAAATATCTGTGAGGGACTCCAAATCCTCATCATTAGTCCTGTGAAACTTGTAAGTCATAAAGATGCATGCTGCGCATGGGTATTTAGTACATCAACATGGAAGCAGTTATTAAAATACTAAGGTGAAAAATACTCCTCTTAAACTGTTGAGAACATCACAGGCTAGGAAGGTATTTCAGTGTCATCCTTAAAAAAAATGCCTATTAAGATGGTGGGGTCATTGGCATGAGGAAGGCCGGAGGTTCTTGATGTCTTTTTATTGAGGAGTTTATAAATCACCCCCCTCATTAGGTAGCAGACTAATGGATGATGTTGTAAACATGCTTATCTTGAAAAACATAATTTGCTAAATTTTTCACTTCCTTTGCTAAGTAGTGGTTTAGATGAAAATGTGATTCAGTTCATGGTAGAATACAAGGAAACACAAACAAAATATGTTTAAAATGTAAAAGTAGAGGAAAGACATGACGTGAGTACAGGTTAGGTTTTTGTAGTTTTCCTCTGAAATTGAGTGTTTTCAGAATGGACGTCCAAGAGGCAAATGGACAGCTTGTTAAAGATCCCACAGTCAAATCTCAGTTATGTTCTCGCACACGCTCATTTGCTTCTAAAACAATCCATTTAAAATGTAACTTCCGGACTTCTATCCCATAAGGAAAGTTTGCTCATATATATAAAATTAATTTTTTCTGAATTATGGAACCAGCACATGTTCATTGTAAACATTTTGGAAACTACTGGAAAGTATAAAGAAGAAAATTAAAGTAACCTGTAATGCTACCACCTAGAGATAAACTTAACATTTTGGGCTGTTACAGCATATATATAATTTTGAATACTTAAAAAATTTTACGTAATATGGTAAATATTTCCCATGATTAATATTTACTTGAAATGTGCTTATTAGTGACTGTATAATATTTCATTGTAGGGATTTACCATGATTTATTAAGCCATTACCCTGTTGGCCATTTATGTTGCTTCCAGTTTTTAAAAACAGATGAATTCTGATATTGGCATTCTTGTGTATAACCTTTCGGTCCATCTCTGTTGCCCAAGAGCAGGTTCTTAGAAGTAGATTTACAGGATCAAAGGTTATGAAGGATATTAAGAAATTTACGTATGGTTGCAGTGCTTTCTAGAAAAGTTGTTACATGTTCATCAGCATTGTTAAACCTTTTCCAAGATGATGACTTACCTGATCTAATCAGCCAGTCCTTCTAGGAAAGGAAGGAACATTCATTAAGTCCTGATCTGTACTTCATCTCATTTCATCCTCACACCAACCCCGTGAGCCAAGGACCCCTGTCCTACCATTTCACAGATGAAGAATCCTGCCCAGGGCAAGTGAGAGACTTTCAAAGGTCACATCACCAGAAAATGGGTGGAGTGGTTGGTTATGCAAGCTCAGGCTGTCTGATCCCCAAAGTCATTTTCTTTCTAAATTTCTAGGGTTCTCCCCTATGTAATATTTATATTCATCATTGTCTAGAGAACAAGTTCTAATTTTATTTTCTAAACTAAACATGCAAGTTGGAGACCACCTAGCGCTTCAGTGGACACTTCATAAACATTTCTGAGGCTCTCACATCCGCGCCCCCCCCCCTCCCGCCCCAGCGCTCAGGAAACACACAACAGAAGTTTTAGAGGGCTCTCGAGCCAACCAGGTAAGCAGCCACCTACACCCCTCAGCATGCAGACATGTTCATTATACTCCTAGGTAAGGAACTGTTTGCGAAGGTAGAAATATTGTCTTTTTCCTATTTCACACAATCAAAATCACATGCAAAATCTCTAGAAAGAAAAATTAGAGCTTTAAGAAGCAACAAAGGTAAACCATGCCATTAATATCACAAGGAGAGATTTCTTTTGATTTGTTAGTAAATGTATCTGTGTCCTTTCTGCCTAATTCCAAAGGCCCCCCCCACCTTGCAATCACTGAGAAAAAAAACAAAAAAAAGACTTCTGATTATTGGCTGGTTTCTGTTCCAGGTGTGTGAATATCCTGATGGGACCAAGTCTTTGAAACTGGGAGACTTCGGGCTGGCCACTGTGGTTGAAGGCCCTTTATACACAGTCTGTGGCACCCCGACTTATGTGGCCCCAGAAATCATTGCTGAAACTGGGTATGCCTCCTGGGGGTTTGGGTTAGTGCTTTAACTTTGGGAAAGGGTATATTTTGCTGCTACTGCTGCTGTGTATTCACATGCCTCTTGGGAATGTGGAGGGCAGGAGAGACTGTTACCTGCACCATGATTTTGATCCCAGGAGCTTGAGTTTGTGCTTCTAGTTCCGAGAGCCCTAGGCCTGGACTTCTGTCCCAAGGCCAGTCTTGGAGTCCCCAAGATGGTGGTGAGGTTGGGAGAAGAGCAGGCACCTTTCGTCCAAAGGGTAATTCATTCCTCTGCATGAAATGAGCAGTCTGGTACCGAAAGGCCTTTTTTCCCTAAAAACAAAGGCAAGTGCTCCAGTAACGTGCAGGGTTCCTGGGAGTAGTATCACTGTTTCTCTCCTCCCACCCACTTTGTTTCCCCAGCTATGGCCTGAAGGTGGACATTTGGGCAGCTGGCGTGATCACGTACATACTGCTCTGTGGATTCCCACCCTTCCGAAGGTCAGTGGCTCTTTGAATGACAGTATTTGAATTGTAAACCCTCTCCCTTTGATCAGGAAGCAGACATTCTGCTTCTGGCAATCAGGACCAGAAACTGCTCAATAAAACTGTCAGTTAAAAATTACACAAACATACCTTTCACTTTTTTATCTTAATTTACAACCTATTAATGTATATTCCTTGTCCACACTTTTGATGTGAGGCCAAGGCCTTTGCTTTGTGTTTGGTCCCCTGAGTTTCCTGCGGTCATTCTTCCGTAAAACACACCCATAGTCCAGTGTCTTATGATTTCCATTCTCAGTCTTTTTCAAGAGCAGTAGATTTAAAGATCCTTGTGAAGCAATCTGATCCTTCCAGGTAAGCCTTTTTCTAGTTCTTAAGAGTTGTCTTTTCTACTTAATTCGACTGCACTTTTTTGGGTTTTTAAAAAAAAAAAAATTATTTATTTTTGGCTGTGTTGGGTCTTTGTTGCTGTGCACATGCTTTCTCTAGTTGTTGAGAGTGGGGGCTACTTTTTGTTGCAGTGAGCGGGTTTCTCACTGAGGTGGCTTCTCGTGTTGCGGAGCACGGGCTCTAGGAGCACTGGCTCAGTAGTTGTGGCTCACGGCCTCTAGAGCGCAGGCTCAGTAGTTGCGGCGCATGGGCTTATTTGCTCCGTGGCATGTGGGATCTTCCCAGACCAGGGCTCGAACCCGTGTCCCCTAAACAACTCACTTTGCAAAGCATTTGACCTACTTCTTGTAGAAACAGGGAATTCTTTCTTTTTAAATTTATTTTGTCCGTTCACATAATATTTAATTAAGTAGAATTACAAATACTTTTGGCATAAACAGAACTGGGAACAGCAGATTGACCCTTGGTGACCCTGCACCTCACCTGGTGGCCACACATGGTGTTGGGGTGTGTGCTGGGGTCCACAGAGCGCACTCGCACCCAGCAGTCCATGACTAGGGGGCGTGTGGGGCTTTGACACAGCATCTCTTTTGATCAGTTCTGTCTCCCTCTTTGGAGCAAATGAACACTTTGAAGCAGAAGTTCATCTAATGGTGCATGTTTGATTTTCCTCTGAGTTTTCTTGAATGCTCTTTTCCTTTTAATCCCTTCTTTGTTCATTTTACAACTATTTGTAGAGTAGCTCCTGTGGGCCAGGTACTATTCTAAGTGCTGGGAATCGAGTGGTGAACAAAACATATTCTCTGAGGCCATAGCGTTTACATTGTAGTATTCGGTCAGTAAGTGAAAAATAAGTTTATTCCATTACCCCCCCACACACCCCGCATTTTATTGTGAAAGCTTTCAAACATACAGAAAAGTGGAAAGGTTTATCTTTTTTAAATGATCAATTTTTAATTGAGTTGAACAGGTTTTTTTTTTTTTTGCTGACACTAAACACAAGAATGACAGAGATGTCAGTCTCTACTTGTGAGAGCCTTTTGATGTAGATACATCACGAGAATATTGATCAAGCAGAATAACTGAGCATATGAGGTCATGCTTAGTTGGGGGCATGCTTAGTTGAGGGCTAGAAATCACAAAAGGTTTCGTGAAAGATATGACATTTGCGTGGGACCTTGTCCTTGTGGCATGGGTTAGGTTTCTGTAGGTGGAAAGTTCTTTCCATCTGGCCATCAACATCATGGTTTTCCATCAAGATCATTGCTCAGGTGGGTTATACAGACTGTAGGATTACTGGACGTATCAGTTTTTGCTGAATAACAAACTTCCCCTGAAAGCAGGGGTATAAATCATTCTGTGAGTCCATTGAGCAGTCCTTCTGCTCTGGGCTGGCTCAGTGGGGGCAAGAGGTCCAGTTTAGCCTCACTCATATGCCTGGTAGTTGGCTCAGTGTCAGCTGGGAAACAGATATGACTTGGCCATGTGCCTTTCAGCATCCGGTGGGCTAGCATGGGCTTCACATGATGGTGGATACAGGATATCCCAAAGCAGCCAGAGCACTTTCCAAGTCTCTGCTTGCCTCACATTTCTTCATTGATGTCCCATTGACCAAACGAAATCAAATAGCTAAGCCTGGGGTAAATGTGGGAGAAGGTTAAGTGTGTACATAGAGGGAGGGGGATCATTTGTGGCTATTTTTACAGTCACACTGTGCCCTGGCTGGTTTCAGTGATGACTTGTTTTGGGAACTAGTCAAATGCAGAGGGTAGTGGGTTTATTTTTTATTATTTTTTTTTGCAGTACGCGGGCCTCTCCCATTGCGGAGCACAGGCTCCGGACGCGCATGCTCAGCGGCCATGGCTCACGGGCCCAGCCGCTCCGCGGCATGTGGGATCTTCCCGGACCGGGGCACGAACCCGTGTCCCCTGCATCGGCAGGCGGACTCTCAACCACTGTGCCACCAGGGAAGCCCTTAGGGTAGTGGGTTTTGATAGCAAGTAATTCTAGGACTATTTACAGTAGAGTTTCCTTCCTTGGTTAACCCAAGTTAAGAGCAGTTGGAAAAGGGTGTCAGGGATCAGTTGTAGAGGAATGTGTGCTCACAACTCCCTCTAGTGTTGCCACTTGCCAGCGCAGCTTGGGAGTTTTTTCTTTGACTTTGCTTTTTACTTTTTAACAGAAGTGAGACTCAGATTGAACAATATATATCTTATTGTGACTTGTTACCCAGTGGACAGCAGCTTCTTTGCGGGATCTTGAGATAAGTCTGGCTAATCAAAAGCAGTAAAACGACATTCTGAAAGCTGCTGCGTTAGATGTTATATTCAGAAGCTGGTCCTACAACTCTAGATAGCTTACTTTTGAAAATGTTTTCCCTCTTTCATACCGTGTTGTGATGAAAGAGAATCTATTATGTTAAATACAAGTTACAGAAACATCTTCACAGCGTACAGAGACATTCTGGATAGGTTTTATAACCTTCTATAATATAAAATATATTTATTTTTATATATTTTATATATCATATATATATAAATTATGGAAATGGTCCTTTAAAGAATGATAAATGACTATGGTATAAGACCGGTTATCTACTTAAATTTGTATCTAAAATAAAGTCCTTCAAACAGATATCTCAAAATATTTGTTTTCTACAAAAGATGATTTTCACCCAAAGCTTTTGAATTAAAATTGTTCCTTGGAATTGACAGTTTCAGCTTCTTTCACTGTAGCATCTCTCATTCTTCTTTTAGGGTTTCTGGGCTTTAGTCTTGGGCTGACATATATTTTCCCTCCAGTCTTTTCAACACCAGATTCATTGCTACTGAGAAGGATGTTGGTTTTTCAGAGGCAACTAGAAGTTTAGTTATTGCCTAAGCAAGTCTGTTCTTAGGGCCACTGACAACAAGTAATACTTGCCTGACTATGCTGAGGTATTTGATGTTTCTTTTAAAGACAAACACATACATAACCCCCTTGAAGTCAGATGTTTGCACATCATTTGTGAAATAGCTTACAACATTTTTTCAGTTACCTTGTTCGACCTTTAATGACTTGGCATTGGAAAGAGTG